TGCCGAGTACCGAGAGATTGGTCTCTTCTCGCGCTACAAAACGTGCGAACAGGGAAGTCTCACTACCTCGTGATATGTCGCTGTCCAGACGCCAATATACTCGGTGAGTAAAGATGGAAAAGTTGTCTTCAAATCGTAACATTGAATTTGGCTCGATCGAAACAGTAGCGCGCGTTTAAAAAGTAAACGAATTAACGATACAAACGAGTTGCAATTTGCATAATTGATCAGATTGCAGAATTGATAAGTAACTATCGTTCGATCATTCGAAATCTTTGCGATACGTCGTATTACGAAATGTTCTATGTTTTAATCATCGATCTCGCAGAGGGTCCAATGAGTCATGATCAACCGACGTACGCCAGTGTACCAGGGATTCGGGTTTATGGCATGATGTGCGTGCAGGGCAATCGAAGAGGTCGACCACTGCGGTATACTCGCGGTCTTTCAGGTACCTTTTCCGCTTAAAATCTTCATAAATGTATCACGCATGGCCTAAACTCGAGCCACGTCGTTATTTCTATACAGATTATTTCCAACGAGAAGTCGGAGAGGAACCTGGGACGTATAACGGTGAAGAAGATACGAACCAACGATTGAACTTTCCATGGTACAAGGTACAACAGCTAATGGAGACAGCTGTTTGGGACTAGATTCGTTAGCTAAACTTCCAATGATGCGACAAATGACATTTCGCTTAGCGGCATTCGACTCTTTATTTATTAATCATCTTTCTTTGCTTCGCTTCGCCTTCCCTAGCTTCCTTTTATTTATCGAACCATCTGTTTCTTATGTTTATTTATATACCAGGATATACCATAACGCATCTATAGTATAACGTCGAATCTGACGAATTTTCAGACGCTGACGAGATTGTCAGTCAAAGTTATTCTTCGACAGATTCGTCTTTTATCGTGTTTTATCGTGTTTTATTTATTCGAACCACGTGACGTTCAACGATCGACATTACAGTGTAACGGTGAACGTGTAATTGCTATGATTATTACGCGTCGATGACAGGATGCAATCGATTCCTTATACTTCGCGTTACTCTCTGCCACTTTCTTTTCTTCGGAATGGATTCGTACAACTAGACACCTCCGTGATGATGAACGGGTATAATATTTCTCTGGCACCGTTTGCTAATATGTCGTAATACCGAGAATAAAAACCGAAATATCGACATCTTTCGTGACTTTCGGGCTCGATTCATTAGCCAATTAACCTCTTCCGCAATCTGTATACGTACACGAGTACGTACGTTACGCAGATCATATCGATCGATTGCAAACAAATGATAACGCGCTATGAATCTATGCCTATTAAAAAAAGAAAGAAATCCGTACGACAATGCTCAATGCCTAGCACATATCGTCGCGATATAAAGAAAATTTCATTCGACTGTTCACTCGCCAGATCGAATCGTTTTCTATCTATCGACATAGCCCATATCGGATATGACATGTAATTTATTCTTAAAATTTGTCGCGATTGGACCGACAATTTGTTGTTTTATTCCGATACACGAATGTATTTATATTGGAACAGTGAGGAAAGACGTATCGACTCCAACGGAATTAACCATAACCACAACCGTCCAACTATGTTTTATTACGAACTGCAAAAATACTTGTGGTTGCAGAGTTTGTTTTATCGTTAAGATGTGCTGTATTCACACTGCTGTTCACGAACACTTCGCGAGGCAATGTTCTCCGGCAATTTGAACATTTTTAGCGATCACTGAACAGAGAATACTGTTTACTCGGGAGATGGTAGATACATCGATGGATCATTCGCGAACTGTTCGTGAACACTAGTAACGCGAACAGTTCTGCCCAGTGTGAACCCAGCAATAGATAATAGGACACCGTGCAATGTAATCGTAGAATCTAGAGATAAAAATAAAAATCTCTTAAAACTACTCTTTCGTAATAAAACGTTCATCGATCTTTAACGATAGATTCACCAAACCCGTCGATCCTTCTTCTTCCTTTCGAGAAACACTAGTAACGAAGAAGAAGAAGAAGAAGAATAAAGTCGAAATAGTATCGATCACGATCGATACTATAAATCGGTAAGGTTAATAAATTATTGGCAACTAGGTTAGGCATGAAATGTTTGTTAGTTTCCAAATTATTGCTCTATCGATTGCTCTATGCGTTATTCGATCAGCTCGATGATTTGATTCTACTCTGGATTATGAGTTATTAACGCTTTTTACAGCTTACGAGCGATATATAAGCGATAAAAGACGATTTCGTAAGAAAAGAATTTCACGGCATTTTCCGATCAACCTAACATTTCTTCGCTATTGAAAAAGAAAAAAAAGAAAAAAAAAAGTCATCCCCCTTCACCTACTCGTGCATCGTTAATTCTACACTCTCAGGACGAAAAGAGAAAGCAACGAAATCGAAAACGTGTCTTTATTCGACTTACCCAATACATCCGAATTGACTAAAACACTGCAGCTATACATCGGAGTAACTAGCCGAGGGTGTCTTGAATTGAACACACGACGACAAGCTTCCTTGCATGCCGACATCAGATGACCACCATCCACGTGTCCTTGATTTTGCCCGCTATATTCGCTAATGATCGAAGAAAAAAAAAAGAAAACGACAAATGTATACCCAAGAAAATTCAAGTCATAAAGATAAGAAAAGCGCGATGAAAAGAAGCGAAAAAAGTTAATGCAAAGTTAATTAGTTAAAAGTGGAATTAGTCGAGAATTTTTATTTGAAACCCATATTAATATTATTGTAGGAAAAATATACGCCAAGTGGAAGCGTTGATAGAAGGTATGATAGGAACGCTACGAAACCATGAATAAAGTAAGAATATGTGTCATACCTTTGTGAAACTTGATAAATTTCCCATCTCTTCACGACAAAGCAGACACCCATCATAGGTTCTTCGCATAAAGGTCCAGCAAGCGTTGCCAATTGAAAACCATTGACCATACTGCTTTCGTAACTGTACATCGTAAATGATATTACACGCTTTCTTAAACATACAAACTTCTCGCGTGTCTATTTATTTTTACGTGTGAATGATAATGCGAATGCTCTTATTCCCGCCAGACATTTATTACCTTCGCCACTCTCCAATCATTCGCTTTTTTACCGTTTATTAATAACACCATCAAATTTAATAAACCGATTTATTTCGTTTAATCGAAATAAACTTATTTAGTTTCATCGTACAGATCTGAATACTCACGGTGTACGTGGATCCGTAGATTTTGAATGGCCTTCCCAAAACTTCTTTTGCTTATAATCGGTTTCGTTTAACAAGATATTAAGGCCGCAGTTTCGTGGTCCAAACGCCCATATTTTATCTAGCACATCCACCTTTTCACCAGCCTCCCGAAATGCAGTTGCCAATTCAGTTTTGAACGATTCTAATGCTCGTTGTTTCTTCTCCGACATCAAGCGCGACAATTCCATTTCCTGATCCACCATCGCTACTTTCTCAGCTTCCTCTACCCTTTCTGAATTCGATTTGCCATAATGCTGATGAAATGCCTTTATTAAATCCATGTTCTTCTCCAAGATCTTGGTCACTTTCTCGGGCAAGGGTCTCGCATCGATTTCAAAGTAACACTGACGATTTGCAGTCCAAGTAGCCAAACTGATGCCTTCGGCTTTCTTTTCGATCGCTTCGTTCACCATGTCGACCTTTGGTGGAGGCACGACCGTTTCTCTAAACGGTACGATAGGTTCCGACACGTTTACATCGACCTTGGCGTAGCGTAATTTCAAATCTTCCAAACACCTTTCCAAATGCACTTCACCAGCAGTGCTCAATACAATTTCCCCGCTCTCTTGAATATGAACAACAGCACAGGCGTCTGCCTGGTTAAGTAATTTCAAACCGTTGATCAATAGCTGCAAATCGTTTGGATGTTTTGGTTCGAGAGCTACCCGCATGATGGGTATACTGAGCGAAGTCAGTTCCGAAAATGACGGACAAGCAACAGTGGTGGAAAGAGTCGCTGTCTTTAGTACGTGCTCCTCCAAATCACCGATTCCAAATACGTTACCAGCGAATACCATATCCGTGGGTTCTAACTCTCTGCCCATTAGTAGATATAACTTTCGTATGGTAACTCTGGTCACGTGTCTTCCAGGTTTCAAGTCTTTTAACGTGACGTTCTCGTCTATCGACTCACCTGTTTTCTCTCGTCTCAATGCTTCGCGTGAATCGTGTTTCGGTCCTAGTACGTACACGGTACTCCCTTCTCTCAGACATCCAGAATAAATTCGAGCAAATGCTATTAATGCAGTTTCTGTATTCTCATTTTCGTCGTTCGTTTCCTCGGTAACTGTATTTTCCGATTTCCCACTCTCGCCGGCGTCAAAATTGCCGATATTGACCGTTTGTTCCGCTCCCTCCGATTGCTGTTCCCGCATGATCTTTTCCGCGTGTTTTAGCCGTGCTATTTCCTTTCGTTGCAGTAATTCTTCCGAAGTCAGCGGCTTTGGTCTATTCTCTGGTAGTAACTTTTTCTCTATTGGAAACATTTTTGAAATGAACACGACGATAGGTGAATTTGGAGAAGGATCGCAAGCTAAAAACGTCTCTTTTAATCGTTGTGTTTCCTCCGGTAATGTGGAGAAATCAAAATTTCCACTCAGTAAGCGCTCCACCTTTTCCGAAGATAAATTATGTGGTGCTGGAACTTTTTCGCATAGAACATCGAGACACGCTCGAGCCAAAGGGAGCCACTGTGAACAAACTGCTTGTAATTGAACTCTAGAATCCGTGTGCCTCAAATCCCTTATTGTCAATTTGATATCCAATTTCTTAGCCATCAAACATACTTTTTCTTTATCCTTACGAACGGTTATTGTTTCGTACAAAGTCCAAAGATTATCTAAAATAAGTTGAACAAATAAAGGCTTTTTTGCTTTATCTTGAGCTCCTTTCATTATCCTCTTTGTCTTAGTATTTATGTAATAATCTCCCCAGAGCGTTTTTGATAAAACTTTTTCACTAAAGCCTAATTTGGTTGAAAGTATATTGGCAAATTCCTTAATGCCAAATCCCCAACCATCTGTGGCACTGGAAAATAGGACGTTACCTTGTTCCGGAGAAAAATATAAATTAGAATCATCTATATCTTCGAGTACAGACTGCCAATCTGCTAAATTTCTTTCCGAACTATTTTCCATTCCTTCTGTCTTTAACTCTTCTTTTTCTTCGCGTTCCATTATGTCACTAGCAAATAACTCGCCCATTACTGCATTAACCTGCTCTAAAACTTGTGTTAAATGCACATAAGCATCCAACGGGGACAATTTCATTTCTGTAATTAATCTATCTATTTTGTTTAATACTAAAATTGGTTTTAAACCTTCCATATAAGAAATAGACAATGCGCTACGCGTTTGAGGACACACGCCTTCTACCACGTCTATCATAATGATGGCACCGTCGCAAAGTCTGACAGCTGTTGAAATTTCAGACGCAAAGTCCACGTGTCCTGGAGAATCGATTAAATTGATAGCAAATTCTTGACCGTTGCACTTATGATAAAGTGTAATGCAACTTGATTTCATTGTAATTCCTCTAAGTTGCTCATCAGCACGACTATCTAAATATCGTAATTTACCAGCAAGTTTATTAGAAATGATCCCATTACTGGCAACCAATGAATCTGCCAAAGTAGTTTTGCCATGATCTACGTGAGCTAATATACAAATATTACGTATATTAGCTGGATCGCTTTGAATTTCAGTTAATTTTTCTGGACTAATGAGTCGCATTATGAGATTAATTTGTCAGTAAATATAAATGGCATGAATTTTCCAAGCATCGATAAATATGCAAATATAAAATACAATGTGAATATTAAACTTAAATCTTGAAGATCATACGATAAATAACACTGTCGACTTTCTCAAACGAAGAAACGATGTATATCGAGAAACAAAGTCCAACTTATAATATATTTTTGTACATATGACGCACGTATAAATATATTGATTTGTAAAAGTAATAATAAACACTATTTCACTTTATTTTGTTTCCACAGTACGTAACGTTCGATAAACACAAGGATGTATCGTAGCTTTGTTGACATCGTCGTCGTCTTCCACTGCATGCCACTTGTTTCAATCGCTCAAGCAGCAACAAAAATATATTATCGGTCAAAAATTGACCGTTGCAGTTGTTTCTTCTTTTCTTAATTTCACCGGACATATATTTGCTAAAGGAAAAATCCTTTGCACACTTTTTCTTATCCCCACAGGTTAGGACCATTAATAAAATATTGTCTTATATCTCGAACGATTTATCTCTTATGACTTTTGTCCGTTTGACTATATATCGGATTCCACTCTTTATCGGGAAATAAATCTTTTCTATCAATACATCGCTTGGAAAGGTTCCGACAAGTGAAAAACGTATCGAAAGTTTAGCATGCACCAGAAACCACGTATGTGATCATAACATGCAACATTGAGTAATACCTCGAATTACTTTTATCTCGTGGAGTATTTTTATCAACGACACAAGATTACTTGGAAATGATAGCAGCTGACTAATATCTTATCAGAAATATATCAAAAACTGCTAAAATGCAACGAAATTTTGGATACAAATCATGTGATAGTTATATCACGAACGCACATGCGTAGATAACGTATAATATTGCGCCATCTCTGAGTGTTCACCAAACGACACTTGTATATAACCCTAGATGGAATAATAGTTTTAACACCACATATTTATCTTGTCTATGCTAATACCATAGACAAAATATAGAATAGATATATCATCTTATAGAATTTCGTGTTCCATGTTCTACAATACCGATTGTATACGAAGGCAGAGAATTTTTATGCCATCTATGATTTGAAATTGATACTTTAGAAGTTATATCGTAAAGATATGTCTTTCCATCGAATTATACCATGCTGCATCGTACAAAACGAAGTAATTGGTAATGAGATTTTATAAATATTAAAACTAATATTACGAGAATGCGAATATTTTTGTTATATCAAAAGATTGTTATAAGAAATTATACAAAGTATAAACTTGCAATAAAAATTTATAAATTATTAGCTATGATAATAGAAATATTACTTTCTGTAATATTTGAAGGTTACCTCGCTATATATATATAAGGATACTGAAACGGAGCAGAAAGTTACGTGTCATTCTGCCTTCGCGACGAACACATCGAAAATTTAATCGAACAAATTAATTAAAATGGATTTCAATGAAATAAATAATGCAATTAATTCAATTCGGAATGAAAGAGAATTAAATTTTAACAAACTAATATAAAATCGATAACAATTTATTTTTGCAACAGTAAGTTTCATTAATGTCAAAATGTATTTATAACGGTTTAATCAATATTTATTATTATTGTAAAATTGTAAAATATATTCAAATTTTCGTAATAACGAATCTAATAATTTTCTTTTACCTTGTAATCAGTTATAATTATTCGCAACAATTTTTAAATATATCGTTGTCTGTTTTGTTATATTATTTTATTTATCTCTAATGAATTACTTTTTAAATTTACTTTTTAAATAATTTATATGTATGACCTTTTTTTAACTGTTGTACAGTTTTCATCGTATAATTTCTCATGCATCTTTATTAACTTCTTTTCGAATATCCTTGTCAAATATTGAAATTAAAAATTCACATATACTTCTAGAAATAAATTGATATTAGTTTTATATTTGCATCGCACTTGTACGCTTATATAAAGAAATTTTTATGAAAAACTTTCCATCGATACATCGAAACAACTTTTAATGAGAATAAAATGATTCTGGAAAGGAAATGCTGTGAATTTAAGGTTTAAGGATTATCGTGTAGGTGACCAACACAGGAGTAGCATCCTGAGTTATAATTATATCTCACTATTTATTCTTAATGTTAGTCTTGTTAGACTTTCAGAGATCATAAAGTCAATAGTAAACACCTATCCTCTTGAGAGGCGCTTTCGACATTTGACACGATCATATTAACGACCAATTTCGTTAATTAAAATACGATTAGGTATATACTCTGTATCAAAGAGAAAGCTTCGATTCCCATTGAAATGATCGCGACGAGTAGAAAAGACCGGCTTCCTTTTTTCGATCTTCACGAAGAAAGATTGGAAAGAAATGTAAACGAAAATAAGGAAATGATAATACAAAAGGATCTTCGAAATTTTGCATGAGGATTGCCATTCTTATTGCCATTCTTATTGCCATTCTTATTGCCATTCTTATTGCCATAATTGGGAATAATTATTGGGAAAGATGAAAAAATGAGGGAAACGATCATTCATTTTATTCCTTTGTGTAACAATTATAAATACAAATTTTGCACTGCATGTACAAAAATTCGAATAAACAATTCAAAAATTGTTTATGCATATAACAAGATATAATACAAAATTGTTCTAAAAATGTGATTCAATTTCCTAACATTTAGCTTTATGGTATAATAATTTAAGGTTGTCGAGTTTTTTTTTTTTTTTTACCCGAATTGCATGTTCCGATTATTCCGTCACCGCTCTGTGATTAAACTTACCGAACATATGATATCCATTATCTTTGAAATCGAACGATGTCGAGTAGCTGTTTGTGACTAAAACAATGAGAAAAATTAGAAACAAAGAGAAGATTTTCGCAATGAAAGAATATAGGAATTGAACTCACGATTTATTCGATGATACGTGGAGCTTCTTCCTTTAACATGTCCTCTTTTAGTTGTCTTGATTGTTTTCTCAGTGCACGGCCTCTTATATTAGACATGGTTTTGCAAATTAACCAGACTGTACCTTTTTCGCATATGCATCGTAAAATGTGTACAATGGACGTTAACAAGAAATGCGGCAGGTAACCCGTTGTACATACTTCAAGACCGATCGATTTTACCGTATGCTCTACAAATTTATCTGCCTTTGGTGCCATCCATGTTGATTTTCTGAAAGAAGGAAGAAAAATAATAAAAAAGGAAAAAGAACGTAATAGGTATAAATTTATCGCGTAAATCTCTTATGTAATAGAGAGAATGAAATATTCACGTGTTTAACCGTATCTCAATATTGCTGTAAGAATTTTCGACTACGTTCACAAGTACGTAGAAAGACAAAGAAACGGAAGTGGGTTGAATAAATTTCATTTAAACTCACTTGATCTTTGACATCACGGTCGCAACTGGGCCGGGAATGATGCACTGAACAGTCACGCCGTTTGGTTCGGCTTCGGCGACTAAATCGCAGCTAAGCTTAACGATGTAAGCTTTGCTAGCAGCATAGACGGTCAAATAAGGAGATGGTATGGTGGCTAATGCCGAACTGATATTTAATAAAACTCCCTTCTTTCGTTTGTACATCTGAGGAAGAAGAACCCTTGCAACCCCTGTTACCGCTGCAACGTTCAGTTGCAGTATTCTTGCCAAACATTCCTCCGAGACGTTGGTAAATAGATCTGGAAAGTCGTAACTGGCCCCAGCATTGTTTACTACCACAGCGATCTGTTAAAAACAGGCTGTGGTTGTTAATTGATTATCGCTTATTAACGAGATCTGTGTTTTCAATTATATTCAACTTGACATTGAATTCGGAAAACCGATAATTATCGAGTCTTATGAAGCTACTTCTATCTTTTTTTTTCTCATTTACGATACGATATTATAGAGATGTATATGCATATGCTAAGCGGTAAAAATATTCATGGATAAGAGATACTTGTTCGTGGATTCTATTTACATATATAATGTCGCGTTTGTGCATATAAATAACCCCCGTATAACGCGAACGTTAGATTTCTAATCCAAATAAAGCTCACGGACATGCAAGATAAAAGAAATTAATTATCCGTTGAATAATGAGAAAAGCTATATCTTTGTTTATTTTAGCCAGGCGCCTACATCGAAAACTTAAGAAGCTAAAATTAAGAAGATAAAACTAACAGCTGCAAGTAAAGCTAATCTGCTATACATATGTATAGCATAAATTTTCCGCGTTATGCAAAATTATAGACCGCGTTATGTAAGTACCATGAGTACCATTTATAAATCGCGTTAAACGGAAAGCGTGTTCTACGAGTACCGCGTTATACGAGGGTCACCTGTATATCTCTTATCTGTGTGCAAATATACAGATCGCTAAAATAGAAAGAACGTTCATTTGTAGCGTTCTGAATCTATCTTTGAAATTGTGCTCATGATTTGATACACCCTGTATACGTTGAAGCGAGTAAACGAACAAGCATGGGATAAAAATATAAAAATAAAAGCGGATGAAACTATTAG